GGCAGCATAACCAGTGGTGAGGGGCAATGAGAACTGCAGTCCAACAATATCTGAAGGGTTATATGTGCCCCATCCCTGAAAGAAATGTATTGGTTTCAATCTCATAGGAAGAGATCTCACATTCAGCTGAATACAAGACATCCCATTTAATCATGGTTGGCGATGTTTAAACTTGTACAGAAGAACCTTTTGCTTGTGATGAAGGACTTAAGAGGGTAATATGAAAACCTGAGTCCTTCTCCTAGCCTCAGAAGGGAAGGTATCCATCTGCTAAACCTAAACCATGTTGTACAACCTCTACTGCTAGAGCATGCAATGCAAATGTAACTGTAACCCTAACTCTTAACACACCAAAATGCTCAGAATTAATTAATACACATGCGTACATAGACAGACATATGCTCTTACTTGCTCATTCTGTCTCGCTGTTACACACATAAATATATGGATAAGAAGAAGGTATCCATCTGCTAAACCTAAACCATGTTGTACAACCTCTACTGCTAGAGCATGCAATGCAAATGTAACTGTAACCCTAACTCTTAACACACCAAAATGCTCAGAATTAATTAATACACATGCGTACATAGACAGACATATGCTCTTACTTGCTCATTCTGTCTCGCTGTTACACACATAAATATATGGATAAGAATTTAAAAGCTAAAGGTAGATCATATTGCAAAGGAAAGGGACTTTGTGTCATGTAAGCCATCAGTTATCTCCCCATTCTATCTCTCCTTCCACCCTTCTGCAGTAGACTACTTAATTAATACACATGCGTACATAGACAGACATATGCTCTTACTTGCTCATTCTGTCTCGCTGTTACACACATAAATATATGGATAAGAATTTAAAAGCTAAAGGTAGATCATATTGCAAAGGAAAGGGACTTTGTGTCATGTAAGCCATCAGTTATCTCCCCATTCTGTCTCTCCTTCCACCCTTCTGCAGTGGACTACCTGGATGCCGTGCTGGGGTGGATGAGGGATAACAGACTGAGGCTGAACCTGGACAAGATGGAGGTCCTGTGGGTGGGTGCCCCTAGTCTCTGTGGTCTGGGGGCCTCCTTTTCCTTTAGGAAGGGCTACTCTCTCTGCTAAGGATGAGGTTTGCATTCTGGGTGTACTTTTGGACCCAGTGCTATCAGTGGGGCCCCAGGTAGCATCAGTCATCTGTACCACCTTTTTCCACCTGAAGCAGATCACCCAGCTGCGTTGCTACCTTGATACTGGTCCCTTACCATGCTTACCAATAAATAATAAATAAATAAAATGGCATTTCACCCCCCTCAAACTTCTCTGTGTCTGGGCAACGGGATTCATTCTCTGTTACACTGAATGTCTGCAGCTGGAAGAGAGTTTGTGCAACACCTCCTGAGGAATGGGGCTTACACATCTTTAACTTTTGTGTTTTCTTTGGCTGTTGTCATATATTATAACAGCACCACAAAGGCAACATTGTTGGTGTCCTGGCTACCATTTTTTTACGCCCCTGTGCCCTCCTATTATCATATCATATCGTGAAGGAAACTGCAGCCACCATGGACACAGAATTTTGGAGAATTTTGCATAGTGGCTTTCTTTTTCTAAAGGAATGAGAAAAAGGAATATCTCGAGAAATAACAGCTCAGCTGTGATTTAGATGCACTTTAGTGTTTGGTCCCTTTGGAAGCAGTCCATGCTCTGCTGGAAACATTTTCAGGTAATGAAGCTTTTTAATGGTTCAGTGGATGCTCCTGAGTTTGGCTCCCCCTCCCCCCATATTGCCGTTAGCATGGAAAAAATTATGTTCTCTTCAGCTCGGGTAGAGAGGTTTTTCTCACATTGTCATGAACTTAAGTGTACCATTTCAAAAGAACCCTTGGTCAAGTTTTCAGTGCAGGTCAAACTGAGAAAGTGCTGTCATTTTCAGAAAGATCTTAGTAGTTTATAAGTGTCCAAGCCCTCTTGATCTACCCCTGCCCTGACTTTCTTTATACTCAGCTTTCAAGGACTAGTAGCAGTAAAATAATTCTAGGAACAAGCCACACTGCAGTTGATAGGCAAAGCTAAAGGTTGCAAAGCCTTGAAAGTAACTAATTACAACCAGCATGTCCAAAGGGAAGGGCTTGCAAAGTCTGCAATCTGAACTATCTGGAGGGCATAACATTGCATGATTGTCCAGTTGTTACACATTTTTTCTCTCTTAAGTTGTTTGGCCACTGGTGATGATTTGTATGTGGAAAAAATGGTTGGATTACATTGTAACAGATTTCACAGTATTTATTTATTTATTTATTTATTTATTTATTTATTTATTTATTTATAGCCTACCCCATATCCCAGGGTATGAGGGTAGGTTACAAAGCCATATAAAATTACTTAAAACACAAGAAGTTTAAAATCAAGGCATTTAAAATATGAATCTTAAACATTAAAACATTAAAAACATTGCTTTAAAACCTGCACATTAGAGCCATTGGAATTTTTATTAACGTCTGACATTATAAAGAGAGCAATTAGCTTATATAAGAAAGGATGCTAATAATGAGACAAGCCCACTTCCATTTTGTGTCCACACTGTCACCTAGACTTCAGTGTGTCTTATTGCTTGATTACTGAGTTAGTGGAAGATACACAGTACAATCGCTGCTGTGCTTCCATACTTACCACAAATATAGTATCCTGTATGGTGGTTCTTGCAACCAGTTGTACACAAATGTGTACAATCTGTCGCATAATCCAATGTACAGCTCATCTAGTTGTACAGCAGTGTAATCTAGCTAAGTTGTGCTACCAGGGAAGTTTACTGAGAATGATGCTGGATTTTAGAATGTAATCAATATCTAGTCTGTGACAACTAGGTGTCAAGCCAGAATTAACCACCATTTTTAGTGCTATGACCGAGAAATCATATTTGCCCTTCCCCTATTTCACCTCCAGCTTTGTTTTTGTACATCGGCTTCGGAGACAGCCAACCAATCACTTCGTGGAATCTTGGTTTGGGTGCCCTTGTGGTCCATGATTGTTCCCACTGATGTTTAGCTGTGAGCTAAAGTGCCTGCTCCATTTAGATTGATCCTGAATATTAAAGGTTTTCTTCTTATTTAAACTTATAAAGTTTCTAGAGAAGCTCTTGTTCTTGTTCTGTTTCTTTTACAAGGACACTCCACTACTGTACTTAGGTTAACTTATGTTGTGCCCTGTGGAGTTTTGACGTTCTTTTTTCTCAGCTAGCTGTAACAAACTGACAGCAGAGCAGGACTAAAGCTGAGAGTGAAAAGGTTCCCTTAGAACTAGAGGAATTTCCCTAGTCCCTCCTATTCCTGAGGGGCTTGCTTTCTGAATGTGAAAATGTAGTTTTCAGTCTTGCATAGAGATGTGCCAGTGTCATGTAATTGGAAAATGTAGGACCAGGGCTAAGGACTTCTGGGTTGAAATCCTTGCTCAGTCATGCAAGCTGACTAAGGGGATGGCACTGGTAAAACAGAACATTTGTTTCATTTGGGCCTGTGGGGGGGGGAGGGTGAATGGACAGGTTTGGGAATGGGGAAAGGGAAGTGCCCCCCTCCCAAGAGAAGAGCCTTATAAGTATGTCTCATCCAAGGTCCCTTGCCCCCAAGCCCAGAGTCTGCACTGCATTGCATGGCCAGAAAGCACAGAAAAATGTTGGCAAAAAGATTGCATAAATCAGCATGATTCTTCAAAACCAACACACTTATGGGAATATTTTTTATGGAATATTGTATGTTTGCTGACTTACACAGTTATGCTTATAGTGTGGCATACAGGGCAACCCTTATTAAAGAAATCAGATTGACAGAACCTTTTTCAGATGTCAGAACATTTTTATGTTTTCAGATTTCATTAGTCACCAAAGAGCAATGAAATTCTGCATTTCCCTCCATTTGTTTAATATTAATAATTTGCTGTGCAAGTGAAACATACAGACTTTCAGACAGAGCAGCCCCTGATTTCTGTGCATATTGAGAGGTCAGTGTTGTATTTACAGTGTTGTAAATATAAATCCACAGTTGTACTTTTATAACTATCTGGTAGCACAAGTCAATTTCTGAGTAAATAAATGTTTACATAGCAAATTACCTCTACTCAAGGATTGTCTTGCTTGTAATTTCATCAGAGAGAGGCCAGGGGTTAAGCGTTCACTGTGAATGAACAATCTGCTCACTTCTGTCACGGTCTGGAGCAAGCCACCTTGACACCAGTGACTTGAGAAAGGCTTTTTTGTACCATTCCATTCTTGTCGCCGTATGGGTTAGTGGAGCAGCAGGATCATTAAAGAGCAGTCAAATCTGCACTTTTTAGTAGAGGAAAGAATAATTTAAGTGGCAGGAAAATAGGTTTAGAGGCTTATTAAAAGCTGAATTTGTCTCTGTTTTTAGTGACTCAACTATTTCTAGTGATAGGAGGAATAAATTAGATTGCAGTTAGTCTTACATCACAAAACATTCTTCCACCTCAAAGATCAATATATAAATCCTGTCAGATAGCTGTTTGAATTACTGGGTTGCCTCAGCTGTTGGCTTGTACACATTTTTTTATAATGGAAAACTGAAAGAGCATTATCTTTCTGCCATCATTTGTGTTGCAATATAGGAGTAATAGCAGGTGAACCATTGATAGAAAAACTGCATTTCACTGATGTGAAAAGAAATTGCAAAATTATAGGTGTCATGCAGGAAGTTCATGCTAAGTACTTAGCTCTGTATTATTTGTTAGACCCAGCTAGAGTAGATCCAGTAAATCTGTGGGTGCTTTTCAAGCCAACATTTACATAAATTTCATTGATTCAGTGTTCCACAGTGCTTGGCACTGACAGCTGGATCTAGGCCTTATTATTGACTCTGGATCTGGACTTTTAGTAGTACATTGTTGAATACCTTTCCACCCTCTCTAAGGCAGTAGAAGCACAAGGCTGTGTTTCTTTATTGTATGGCTGTTGTGTTTGGCAAAGCAGTGCTTAATAAGGTTTTCATTACTCTGAACATTTTGCAGGAACCTCTGTGGTACAAGTAACAGCAACAGATGCAGATGACCCTACGTATGGCAATAGTGCCAGAGTGGTTTACAGCATTCTTCAAGGGCAGCCTTACTTTTCTGTGGAACCAAAGACAGGTAATTGCTTAATACTTCCCGTAACTCTTACAGGAATAAATATATACCGAAATAATCACTGACTCTACTATGGCTTGGAAATGGGGATGAGCACCGCGCCCTAGAGTCGGACATAAGTGGACTAAATCTCAAGGGGAACCTTTACCTTTACCTAGATCTAATGAACTAGCAGGATTTACATGTGTTGACCTACCATTTAGTAGCTGCTTCACATCATTCTCTACACAAAATAGATACCTAGACTCTATGTAGGTCTTTGAATTGGATTTACACCAATTCTATGCATATCCCATCAATCTGGCAAGGCTTACTCCCTACCAGGTGTTGAGGAGAACTGGATAATCCATACTCTTCTAAATGTTGTTTACTGATGATGGCCCACATCATCAGACCTATTACTGATGGGCTTTGTAGTCTAAGAATATCTGGAAGTCTACAGCATGAGCAAGACATGGGCTACAAGCCATGCATGACCGCTCTGCCCTTCTTGCACCATCAATGCCAAAAAACAATTTTGAAATGCAGAATCTATGACTCAGGACTGGTAATTGTCCTTTCAAACAAATTGTTTGCCCACCATGTGCCTAGTTTAGGTAAAGAAAGAGGTGTTTTTAAAAAAGCAGAAGTTGGCTTCTGACCGTTTTGGGGTTTCGAGAGGGAAAGCAGTGGAGATCATGGCAGGCTGCGAAGGGAGTAGTGAACCTTGGACAACCAAAGTTGGATCATTTTATAGAGTGGCTTCAACCTTTACGTTCAGGACCTGCTTACGTTCTTAAGTAGAGACCTCACTGTATTCTAGATATTAGCTATATATTTCTAGAAGAGTTGGGGTGGGATAGACACAGAGGTAAATTCTGGTTTCAGTCATGTTCACTTTTCTATACACAGATTGTATGCTTGAAAATACGAGAGATGTATTCTAGATATTAGCTATGTATTTCTAGAAGAGTTGGGGTGAGATTCATGTACAGTACTTATATGTGTTTTTATTGTTTCCACATGCCGGAAATGATAGATTCTATAATGAGAAGTATGTATTCAAAGGATGTACATACTTGAAACTGTTGGTATTAATTTTTCCCTTTTTGTTCTTGTGATCTCAGTAATTTCTTTATTCATTTCCCCTGCCTCATTCATTAGCACACCCTCAGGTTTTCTGAACCATGTTTTATCTTTTAAATATCATGGGGCTTTTTTTTTTTGCACTTTTTATCTTTTTAAAGGGATATTTGTACTTCCAGAGTTAAAATATTTCTAAGTGTGGAAACTGACTTCATTCTGACTTCTGCCATTATCAAAACGTAAGAGTGGTCCTGCCTCTTTGTTTAATAAAATATTTCCCCAACCATTAGGGCGTTTTGAACACTTTGAAGCACCTTAGCTGTCATCTGCATAGAATGGATACAGATAATGGTCCTGAATTATGCAAAATAGCATTGTTTATGATCACGGGAAAAGCACCTTCACCACATGTAGCTATATATACAAACCAATGGTGCAGACTACACATTATAACATAATGTGTAGTCTGGTGGCAACTGATCACTATGATGTACAGTGTACACAAAAAGAGCTTTAACAGCCTCTGGGAGAATCAGTGTAATCTAGGGGTTGAAGGGTCACAGAGCCTCGTTAATCACAATGCACCATAAATGGTATGAAACAGCAGCCTCTGCTCGAAGTGAAGGCTTGAAGAAGACCCTGTAGGCATGTCCAGCTTTTACAGAGCCATATTCAGACCTTAACGTGCATTGTGCAAAGGTCTAATATACTTGCAGGTGAAAATGTTTGTGAAGAAGGGACTTGTGCTCCAGACTTCTTTGTGGTTGTCAGAGTCTCATAGTTCAAGACATTCTTGTAGCCAGCAGTAAGGATTTGAGAATGCCTTTTGCAAAGAAATTGCAGAAGCGCAGGGACACACAGTGTTCTTTTATTCTCCCTCTCCCATAAAATGAATAGACAGATGTATTCCTGACATGTTCACAGAAAACACATTGTGTATATGTTTTATGTGTAAACAATGTAATAGTCCTGTACTGGTCAATAAGAAAAGGGTTTGGGTAGGGAACATTCTACTATGTCATGCCATTTTGTCAGAGTAAGAGTCACTTGTCAGGTGGCAATCAAAAGAAAGATTGCTGGGCGCACCTTGAGGCAGAGTGAATCAATCTGTTTCAGTTGCATATACAGTGGTGCCTCGCATAGCGAGGTTAATCCGTTCCGGATTAACCTTCGCTATGCGAAAACATCGCTCAACGGAACAAAAAAACCCATTAAAACGCATTAAACTTGGTTTAATGCGTTCCAATGGGCCCTAAACTTACCGTTGAGCGAAGCTTCTCCACAGGGGCGGCCATTTTTGGGCCCTCGCAAAGCGAGGGCGCGGCAGGAAAAGTTGCGGCGGCCATTTTGGAACTGCCGATCAGCTGTTTTCCCCCGCTTCGTTGTGCGAAAATCGCTAAGTGAATCGCTTAGCAATCGTCGCACAGCGAAAAAACGCCATAGGGGCCATTGCTGAGTGAACGCTCCAGCGATGGCCCGGACCCCCTTGCTATGCGAATTCATCGCTCAACGGAGCGATCGCTAAGTGAGGCACCACTGTACTAGTTGGTGGAAATGGCAGTCCCTTGGCTGTTCTGCCTGACCCTGTTGGGATAGACATATGGTGGTGTGCTCCACAGTATGACTGTTATTTGCAGTTCTAGTAGAAGGTTCCATCCTATTTTCAGTACTCAGTTTGCAGTCCCGTTTCCATTTGTATTTTGAATGCAGCATATGGTACCATCTTGTTTTTCATCTCAGGCAGCAAAATGTCTCGGGCTGGCCCAATCTTCTAGTGTCTATTACCTCCAGTCCTTTTTCACACCTTGTAGAGTGCCTGGGATTTTGCAGGTGTTTTTCCCTTTCTCACTTCACTGGAGCTAAGATCACCAGCTGTCTTGCTAGTTGAGATAGGAACAATGCAGTGGGAAGGGTTTGAGGCCTATAAAGCCCAATCCCTGTTAATATTTAATCCTTTGCTTTGTGTCCTCTCCTTAATAGATCATGAAAATGATTATTTTTCTCTCAGATCTTTTTAGCCAACTTTGCAATTGCTTGTAATAATATTACTTACAAAAACCAACAATAATCTATGTAAAGGGAGACAGCCCGCAAACATGTGAAGTCAGAATGTGATTTAGTCAGGGGTAGAGTTGCAGAAATAGCACAAGGGAATAATTTGTAAAATAGCATTTTAGCCTTCCTAGCCTGTTTAGTATGGACAAAATAAAGTTATGAAATCTTGTTTTTGGCAGAAGGAAGATTAATGGACAACTCTGAATTCAAATGAAGGGGAAATAAATAAAAAAGGAACCAAAGAGCTTACATACATCAGATGGAGATATAGAAGCCCCAGTGCACCTCTCAGTTATCCACATATTTCACGTTTCCTCCACAGGTGACATGGAGTGTTGGTGAAGTAAAAAGCTGTCTCCAAAAATCAGTGTCAGCAACAATGCTGTATGACAAGCACAAAATAGTTGTAAAGCTTTCATGGTTTGAGGAAGCATGTTTATTTATCTGATATTTTTCTGCAATATCAGACAAACATCAGATGAATATTTGGTGGAATGGTGACAAGTTCACATTTTTCTCCCCTCCTTTCTCCCTCCCTTTTAAATTGCAAAGCATAATTACACATGGCACAGAGATAGCCAAATGGATAAAACTGTAAAACTATTTCAGATAATAGAGTGCCTCAATTACTACATCAAAGATCCCTAATTACAGTGAGTGCTTTAGAAGTGGGTTTTTTTTTAAAGAAGATATTAGCTAATTCAAGACAGTGTCATCAAAATGCATACTGTGATACAAGATTATTAACAGCAGCAAGATTCTGTTGGGTCATTCACAGCTTTGAACCATCAGAAAATTCATTCTGGAAGCCTGGTGGATTGCAAACCAAATTCTGAATGACATCTTTTTCCTGTCCTTATAGTGAGAATATATGGAATTAATGAATACATGAAGTGTGCACCTTTCACTGATTCACTGTTACTTGTTTTGGCATGTTCCAGGTATTATCAAAACTGCACTTCCCAATATGGACAGAGAAGCAAAAGACCAGTACTTACTTGTCATTCAAGCAAAAGATATGGTTGGTCAAAATGGAGGCCTCTCTGGGACCACTTCCGTCACTGTGACTCTTACAGATGTCAACGATAACCCTCCACGTTTTCCCCGCAGTAAGTGTTTGTAATTAATAATTGAAGAAAGTAATATTTTAAACGGTACCGGATTTGTGCTACTGTGCCGTTTGGAGGATAATGTCAGGTCCCATGAAAAAGATGCAAAGTGTGAATTAAATTCAATTTATCACGCCTGCTTGTCTTGGTTAGGTACTGAATCCAGACATTTAGTACTTTCCAGATGCACTAATAACAAGATGCAAGCCATCTCATATAATGTATGGAAATATATGGTCCCAGTTATCTGGTGTAAAACACAGATATATCATGAAGATTTTTGACATTTGGAGTATTTTGTCTTAATTTGATTGTTTGTAGTTCCCATTGTGAGCCGTTTTCTTTTCCGGAATATTTCTGCTTTCTGCCCATACCTCATTTTAATCTGGATGCTGTAGGTTTTAAAAAGTTGGCATGGGGAAAAATTTAACTGAATTTGTGAGTGTTGTTCAAAGTTGTTTTCTCCCCTATATTTGATTACTACTGTACATCTATGTTTAACTGCATGAGAGGTATGGCAGATGCAAAAGGGGGTATCCTTTAGGTCACCAAATGCATAGCTTCTTTCACTCTAGTATGACACATTGTATGAATACTGTATCTGAGATTTTTGTTGCTCCCCACGCTGCAGATTTATGCCTGCCCCCAATTTACTTCCTTTGGCCAGGGTAGGTTATGACTAAACTAAGAAAAAGAAGAAAAAGAGTCTATTCCCAGACAAGAGCTATGCTGTTTATAAACAATCTGTTGATTTCCCACACTTTGCTGTGATCTTTCTTGTAACCCCATTGCAGGGGTGAATTAGACTAATGTGAGGAACATATATATGTTCAATCTGGTCTCTTCTCAAGTCAACATGGAAAAAACAACAACAACAGACCAATCAAAAGCCAGAATGAGAATTGAATTCTTTCCCCCTTTTATTGTTTAGGTAATAATAAAACACCAGGGAATTGGCTTCTGAAAATGCGAATGTTATAGCTTCAGTCTACATTTTGTTAATCTGCAATCTGTATCAATTTCAGTTTGAGCCTCAGGTTCAGTTTTCAAGAAAGAAGAAAAATGCCTTTGCAAGAATAGTATTTATCTCAATTGCTTGACATGAAAAGCCAGGAAATGTTCTCCTTAAGACACAATTAAGGCGTATATCTGATCTTACAAATGTATTTATTATTTTCCTGTAGTGAAAATGGACATTAGTAAGACAAAATGGCTATGGCTGTGGCCTGCCTTGGTAGAAATGCTAGATTAAATAAATGGAAATAATAGTAATATTTATACATCAAATGCTTGTATGAGTTTGTTCTTCATATATCCAAACAAGAGCACTAAAGGACGGGACTCAAGGAATTATAACTGGGTCATGTGAACAAAAATGTCATGCTTCAGACCTGATCTCACAGAAAATCTTTGCAATCTCCCTCATCCAATCTTGCACTAAATTTTATGTGCAAGGCAGCCATTTGAGCAAGGCATGAAATCCACAAGTAAACCAAGAAGCAAGAACCTTTAAAGTGGATTTTCTCACCTGCTGGGGTAGATGGCAAACTCCTAGCCAACTTATGCAGTTTGGCTATGTCTTTTTAAAACATTATTGAAGTATCACTTGTCATGCAGTTAAGTACAGTAGTCATCAAATCCATGGGGGAAAACAACTTTGAACCACACACACAAATGCATTCTCAAAGTATCACAGTGATACTGAGGGCACAGTGCAGAGAATGCTTGTGGTTTATCTTCAAATAACTTTCACCGTAAGGTATGTTGAAGAAATTTAAAAAATGTCCATTCATAACTAAGATTGTATATATATTTTCTTTAACGACAAACTGAATGGCACCATTAATTATTTGATCCTTAAATAATTAAAATCCACTGAATGTTGTGAATTTTATAGGGTCCTATCAGTATAATGTCCCAGAATCACTACTGGTGGCTTCAGTGGTGGCTAGACTGAAAGCTGTAGATGCTGATGTGGGACCTAATGCCGAAATGGAATATAAGATTGTGGATGGTGATGGTTTGGGAGTCTTCAAAATTACAGTGGACAAAGAGACACAAGAAGGAATCATTACAATACAGAAGGTACCCTGATTTCATTACTTCTGTTTTTATTCACTTAAGATCATCTTATTCTAATAGATGCAAGAAAGAGGCTTTACCTGTACACATATGACCTGCACAAGTAAACTTAATTAGAGATATGTAAAATGCCTTAGAAACATCTCAATGTGTGGAAAATAAATTCCTTAATCTTCATGGACCAGAATGGGATAAAAAATTCAAATGCTTAAGAGAGGAAGTACCCACTTCCTTTCCCTGCTATTCTCTGCGTTCCTAGGAAACATTTCCTTTACACAGACAACAGATTCCCAATCTGGGGATCAAGACCCCCAAGGGGGTTGCAAAGTATTCTCCGGGGGGGGGGAGTGTCCCATGGTTATTTTTAGTTGTGATTATTTTTAAATTTATTATATTAAATATGGTATACACCATTTATTTATTTATTTATTGCATTTATATGGCGCCCATCTAGACATAGTCTACTCTATGCACAATGCATTTTTATTTTAACCCTCTTGGTCCACAGATAGATAATTTTAATCTGAATTGGAATTGCAGTCAACCAACAGTTCTTTGTTATATCTCTACCCCTTTCGATGAATTTTCCTTTTATGCAAGCACATCACTCCCTCCCTCACCGAAAGAGACACTCTTGCTCATTTCTCTCTGTTCCTCCCTGTCAATCTTTAAAGGATTGATGTCAGCCCTTCTGACCAGAGCATTATCCCAGCTCCCAGAAGCCTGGATGAGGCAGGCGGGGAATGCTGACACCCCAAGATGGCGGCAGGATTGAAAAGTTTGTGCCACCACAGCCTTGGTTCTTTTCACACCACCTGAGTCTCTAGTTTTGCTGGGTACAGTAATGGTGGCACAGTGAAGGAAGAGGGACCTGGGCAGAGAGATGCCTCTGGGCCCTTTCTGAGTCATAGAGGAAGAAGCAAGAAGAGCAGACAGCTGAGGGAAGAGAGACAAGGAGGGGGTGAGGTATGGGGCAAGGGCCTGTGGAGCAGGTGTTTATTTGGGTTTCAGAGAGGGGC